TCTCATTCCTCAATAGGTAGCATACTTTCATGCCACCTTCCTATCCTAGAGATTCAGAACCCCTGGTTATTCTTGTACAGGTCTATTTCCTGTCTATCTTACTGCCTGCTCCCTTGTTCCCATTCCTCTCAGCCCACCTCTTACCCCTCCAATGTCCCACTCCCAAATCTACCCACTCCTTTTCCTGTGCTCTCTAGGATGCCTGCTCCATAGGTACCAAAATTGCTTTCATTTTAAAGCTTTTCCTTTCTTATTCCTTCCATCTTCTGGCACTCTCTGAAACTTGGTTCCTTTCTGATGACATAGCATCCCTGGCCACCCTTCACTGTACTAGTTGAATTTTCACTCATAATCTCCTTCTATTATTTCCTCCACCTCCCCCCCCCCCGCATCCCAACTCACTGGTTACGATGGGGGAATTAGGATACTCCTTGCTCCCTACTGCCACTTCCAGAATTTCTCTCTCCTACCATCATTCACAAATTTTCCTCTGAGGTCCATTCAGCCCATATTTAGCACCCAATCAAGATTCTAGTAGCTGTGACCTACTTACCATAAGCAATACTCTCCTTCTTCACTGACTTCAATGCCTAGAACATAGTCTTTTTGTCCTTTTCAACTTCTGAACTCCAGCATACATATTGATACTTCTTTGAATACCCTAACTTCTCAGTTCCTCAATTTTCTTATTTCCCGTGACCTACTCCTCCACTCAGCTACTTACAGAGATGGGCATATACTTTATCTTGCTAACAACCCAAAAGTATGCCACCTCTTTGTTCATGAACTCTGAAGTTCCCTTCTGTGTTCATAATCTTTTATCATTCTATCTTTTCTTCTGCCTTAAGACTCCTTAATTCTGACTACAATCTTCAATCCTTTTACCCTCAATTCTTTCCCAGGCCATCATGCCACACATAAAGAGCTCTTCTCCTTTCCAAGGCAAACTGAACTCTCTCCCTGTCTACTTGCAACCTCCTTTGCTGCCTCCTCACAAACAGACTCATGTATCCCCCCATCTTCAAAAAACCCTCACTCGATCTGTCCATCCCTGCTAGCTATTGTCCTATATCTCTCTCCCTTTAGTGGCTAGACTCCTTGAAAAAGTCACCACAATTTGTACCTGCACTTCCTTTCCTCTTAATCTATTCTTAACTCTCTGAAGTCTGACTTCTGACCTCATCATTCATCTGAAATTGCCCTCTCCAAAGTTCTCATTGATTTAATTGCCAAATCCGATTTCCTCAATCATCACCTTTCTTGACCTCTCTGCAGATTTTGACACTGTCAATCACTCCCTTCTTTTGAATATTCTCCCCTTTAGGTTTTCATGACATTGCTTCCTATCCTACTTCCCCTCCTACCAGTCTGACTGCTCTTCCTCCGTCTCCTTTGTAGTAACTGTGCAGCTCTACACTGGGCCTTCTTTTATTCTTCCGTACTATTTCACTTAATGATCTTCTCTGCTCTCATAGATTAGATTACTATCTCCATGCAAGTAATTCCCAAATCTATTTATTCAGCACTAACATCTCTCCTGGCATTCAGTCTCATAAGTCTAACTGCTTAGTGGACATCTTGAACTGTATTTCCAGTGAGTGTCTAAAACTCAGCATATCCAAAATGGAACATATCTCCCCCCCCCAGTCCTTCGCTTCTTCTGAACTTTCTTATTACTGTGAAGCATACTACCATCCTCCCAGTCACTTAAGTATCATAACTCCTCACTTTCACTGATCCTTCCCCCCCATATCCAACCTGTTGTCAAAATCTACCATTTTCTATCTTCCCAACGTCTCTTGTATATGTCCCTTTGGCTCCTTTGATACTGCTGCCACCCTGGTGCAGGCCCTTATCACTTCAAACTTGGGTTATTACAATAATCTCCTGATTGGTCTCCCTGTCTCAAATATCTTCCCACTCTAATAGTCTATCTTCGACTCAGTTGCCAATATGATCTTCCTTACATGCAGGTGTGACCGCTCTCCTCCCCTACTCAATAAACCATAGCAGTTCCACCTTCTGCTCCATTTTTATACCAGCTACCCGGCCCCATTAAGGATGACTCTGCCTTGAGGATTGCTTGCTATTGGTGAATCCCTGCCTGGGATTGCCAAATATTGACGAGCAACAGCCATTGTTGTTGTTTGTCCTTCCTTCTCAAAGTAGACCAATGACATCATGAAGGTGATGTCTCAACTTGCTGGTGAATTGGATTTAAGTGAGGCAGAGTTTCACTAAGTCAGCAGCCTCACTCTATCCTCCAGAGTCATCAAAGCCCAGTGGCAGGACAAAAGTCAGGAAGACTGGCAATGGCCTAGTGCCATAGCCATACTGCTCATTTCACTTTCCACCCAATCTCCAGTCTGCCATTCTTGGTCTTCCCCCTAAAACTGGAGCCTCGTCTCTGAGATTTCCTCAAGTATACCCTGTATTTTTATTGTATGTATATACAATACCATATGCAATATACATGGTGTCTCCCCCATTAGAATGTGAGCTCCTTGAGGATAGGGATTTTGGCCTTTGTAACCCCACTACTTAGCACAGAGCCTGGCACATAGTAAGTGCTTAATAAACGATTCTCTACTTGCCTAGACTTGGAGGCTTGCTCATAGTCCAGCTAACCTATTATGTTCAGTCCGTTGTCTCAGAACACGTACCACAAACCTGTCCATTCCTATGTCTTTTGCTTCTCCTCAATCTCTTCATATCTCTCTTACCAGCCCAATAAAAAGATTTTTCCATGCCAACTTAACTCCACCTAGTATACTCCAAGTTTTGTGATGTGTCATCTCTCTCCAGGCTAGGAAAAGACCTATTGAAATACTGCACTACAAGTACTAGTATCTTTAATTAGCCCTAGGATGCCTCTTCTTCTAACCTACAAAAGAATTAGACCCATTCACAGCTGGGCCTATGCTTAAGTATATTGTACTGTGATTTCAGGATTGTCAAGACAGCTCTAGCTGTAGCATGATATTGGATCTGTTGGTGGTAAATAACAGAAAAGGAGTAAATACCAATATGGTGGGACAAATCATAGAATGTAGTACTCAACAAGGTTTTTCTTCCATTCTTCTGGGTCACACATTACAAACAACACACTCCTCTCCTCCACTGCTGTATTAGATTGCAAAGATCAGGTGAGGTGCAACTATTCCTTATGTAACCTGGGGCTTAGCAAATAGCAAATAAACCCAATTTTCCAATCTGATAGCAAATAAAAACCAGAGAAATTATACAGGTTGGAGTATACCAGAAGATACATGGAGTGAATGAACTATCTCAGTAAGAGTAGGACTCACTAAAAGTTGGAGTTCTAGCCCTCATTGAAGGGGAAATTCCCTGCAATCTCTTGTGTGATAAGCTGGGAATAAGGTCATAATCAAGGCACCAGTTCCTCTACATGTTAGCATCTACCTGAAGAGAATCTGGAGCCATTTACCTGTTCTCTTAAAGCCATAAGCTAAAAGAAGAAACAGTTCTCCTCCAAGTTCTCAATAACTCCACTCCTCCAACATAGGTAAGGAACATCAAAGTAATTGATCTACACCAATGAGGAGAGTCTTATGTGAATAGGCTTGAGTTTGGGTTAAATTTACAACCAAAAAATATAGGAACTCATGCATTAAAGTGTCATCCATCCACTATTTTTTTCTTAGAAACATCAATTACCTTACTATAAATCATGTTGTTCAACTAAAGGTTATTCTAAGGCAGCATGGTGTAGAGGACAGAATCTGAAATGAAAGAACATGGGTTCAAGTGTCAGCTCTTTACCTTAAAGTCAGTATTGTGACTTTGGGAAAATTACTTTGTCTCTCTGCTGCTTATCTGAAAAATTAGGAAATCCTAGATCTCTAAGTCTCTTTCAGTCCTTAATCTATGAATCCAACCTCGGATGAACCTGAATTTGGATAAAGAAAGCCTAATAGTTTTCACTGAATTTTGTCATTTTCCTGAATACATATAAGAATTGTGAAAAGGAATTTGAAATAAGGAGTGAGCCCAGAGTGACAAAAGTCCTTCTTCTGGTCTGTCCTTTTCTTTCTGATGTTAACACAGTTTCACAATGGCTTTAGTGTCTTTACAGATAGACGGGAGACTTCATCCCCTACAAGCTTGTGCAAAAGGTAGCAGGTGATGAATATGGCCCAGCACCAACTCTAATTGGAGGGAAGCTATCATAACAGGCCAAGTGAGAGGTTGGGTGAATGTTTTAAGAGAGAAGGGAGGCAGGGACATTCAAACTGGGGCCAGAAAGAAATGAAAGAAAGGAGAAAAGGTAAGGAGCCAGACTCGAACAGTAAAAGGAAACCAGGCTTTGGTGTCAGATGACCTGGGTTCAAATTCTACCTCTGATACTTATGACCTTTTTGACTTTGAACAAGTCAGTTAAGTTCTCTGGGCCTCAGTTTTTAAAATTATGGCTTATATTGTGGGGTTGGATTATATAGCCCCTGAGATCCCTTCCAGGTGTGTATCTGGCATCTTGTATGGACTGTGATGACAGTGAGAAGGAGCGCTCTCATCATGTGTTTCTGAGATCTGGTTGCTGCTGTGCCAAGAACCCAGATACTTATGTTGATACTATTCAGAGAAGCCAACATATCCCAGGCTTTCTAGGCTGATGTGCTGAAGTGACTAAGCAAAGAGATCGCTCCGGAGGCTTATTTTTAACACCCAGTAGTCAGTGGCTTTTTGTATGCAACTCCTGCAGCGTGTGGTGGGAGGAGGTAGTTTTGGGAAATGGGTGGTGAGTGTTTGCTGTTGATTGCAATTTTCTAGTTATTTACCGTGCCTTTCTATTTTAAGTAAATGTTCTTTTGCATTACTCTGAAGTCATGAGGGTAACTCTGGCTGGTCTAGATTTAGAGAGAAAATGGGGTTCATTAGTAATAGACTATAGATCCAAACAATGTCAGATATCTGTAGGGGTGCTACACATAAAATGAGTATATCGACTAAAACCATATGTTCTTAACTCCATTTTTCAGACCAACGAAGCTGCAGAACCCATGTTATTCAGAGCTGGAACTAAGTATGGAGAAGAGAGGTAGTTTCCCTAGGGCACACTTTGTGTGTGAGTATGTGTGTATGTGCAGTGGTATTACCAGAGATTTTGTATTTTATATTCTTTAATATTTCTAAAGCCAGAAAATTCTGTTTTTGATGGTACATTGGCGTTTTATTTTGAGATGTGAAATAGCTAGCATTTATGTAGTACTTTAAAGTTTGCTTTATATGTTATTTCATTTGATCCTCACAACAACTCTGTGAAGTAGGTAGTAATAATAATGATAATAATAGCTAACATTTATATAGCGCTTACTGTGTGCCAGGCACCGTGCAAATACTGTACAAATATCTCATTTGATCCTCACAACAACCTTGGGAGGTACATACTGTTCTTATCCTCATTTTACTGATGAGGAAACTGAGGTAAACAGGTTAAGTGACTTGTCCAGGGTCACAAAGCTGGTATCTGAAGCCAGATTTGAAATCAGGCTAAATTCAGATCTAGCACTCTATCCACTGTGTTCTATCTTTTTGACTCATAAATATGTTATGTTGAGTACTCAAAGCCCCAAGCTCCAAGTGCACAACAGTGAAGGAAAATAAACTTTTTTGAGAATTCTTTTGGTCTATGAAATGCCACCTATAAAGATGGAGTGTCAAATGAATCAACTATTCACCCTCGCTCCACTTAAAGGCACTAACAATGCCTTTACCTTCTCTGTTGATCCAGTCATCCCACTTCCACTTAAAGTGCTAACTTGAATCGAGCAGGTGAGAACACTACTATTGAATTAATCAATGAAGGTCTTAAGCCAGGTGCAAGAACTGCTTGATGAACTGACAAAGTGAGATGCTGCTACACAGTGGGTACATTGTTATTAGCTGAGGAGACTGGATCATACCCCATGGCTTGTCTGTAAAATAAAAGGGAAGTTCAGAAACCAGGTATTTGAGTGTGTGGCAACTTAGAGAAAAGAACAGTTCCCTTGGGATTCCATATGTGCTGGAATTATTATTGGTGGGTTTTTTTGGGGGAGCATTACTATAAAACCTTAGTAAAATATTCTTCTCTAAAAGTTAATTGAATCTTGTTGACTAATTGATAAAAACTGATAATAATTGGAGAAGCACATTGATGGGGGCTCATGATCTATAGCATTAGAAAGACACATCCTAACCTCTCAAGGTCCCTTAAAACCCTAATCAAAGAATTTTCTCCGTGCTCCCTCACCCCCTACCCAATCTGCCACTGCATGGTGAGTTGGAAGAGTAAGTTCAGACTATGTGCTACACGCTTAGTTTATGAGATTATGTGGTTTTTTTCTAAACTGTACTTTATGATATATATTTTTGTGTGTGTAGAGAACTTCAGGGTTAATTGGAATATAGTGTAAATAGACCACAAGTCTGTGACTGAATTTACTGCCTCACCTTTATCAAAAAGAAAGTACTCAATGATTTCTTATCTACCCAAAAGTTATCTGTATTTTCCTCTCTCCTTTTTAGTGCTATACGTCTGAAAATCATATAATAAAGAAGGTAAGCACTATTTTAAATATTCAATCAACTACCAATTCAGCACTACTAATTGTCCACCACCATTACTTTGATATTTTAATTGATCTGTGATCTCACTGATGTGGGTACATCCTACAATAATGTTTCCTACAGACAATCCTTCTCCTGCCTTCTCATCCAGTGTGACTAGTCCCTGTACTCCTATAAGTCCTCCACAGGACAGCCACCTAACATGCCAAGAGCCTTTCATTAGATTTCTTAGTGTTGCATAGATCATGGTGTATATTCCATCAGTAGATGGAACACATGGACATCAAACACCTCTTCCTCACTCTTGCTGTGACTGGCCCACCTTCTTTTTTTTTTTTGGTGAGGCAATGGGGTGAAGTGACTTGCCCAGGGTCACACAGCTAGTAAGTGTCAAATGTCTGAGGCCAGATTTGAACTCAGGTCTTCCTGAATCCAGGGTCAGTGCTCTATCCACTGAACCACCTAACTGCCCCGGCCACCTTCTTTAAGTATCATATATCTCTCTGATGATGTTTTTTATCTCTCTTCTTTCAAGTAATTCTTCCTTGGTTATGTGCTGCAGCTTAGTCATGTTCACAATATACTACTCCATCGTCCTTTGAGTGATCCACAGCTTTAATATTACAGAGACTGACATTCCATGACTTGCAGTCATAATGTATCATTAGAATAATATTTATATTAAAATGATGAGCCTTTTTTTTTCCCAGAAAGGAACTTGGACATTTTCCCAAAGACAAAACAATTGACTCTCATCTCCCTGTCCAGTTCTACTTCTCTCTCTCTCTCTCTCTCTCTCTCTCTCTCTCTCTCTCTCTCTCTCTCTCTCTCTCTGTCTCTCTCTCTCTCACACACACACACACCACACACACACACACACACACACACACACAAACACATGGGCCAACCCTTTGGGTTGTCCATCTAACAGCATATCGTAGTCCAGACAATAGGCATTTATAGAATCATAGGTTTTAGGGCTGTAAGGGGTCTCAGGGGGTCATCTAGTTCAACCCTCTCTTTTTACAGATGAGGAAACTGAGGCCCAAAGAGGTTAAGTGACTTGCCCAATTCACACAGGTTATATTGGAGGCAGAATATGAACTTAAATCCTTTGGCTCCAGTACCAGTGTGCACTCTACTCTACCACCCTTGATTCACTTGTTTTTTACTGTGTGAGCAGTTAGGCCAAACAGCTTTGAATGCTTCTGGATTACATTTAGGAAGTTCTGCAAAGTTCCCATTTTTGATCCAAGAAGCACAATGCTGTTCACAAAGAGGAGTATCTGAAAGACCTTGCCATCTGGCTTGGACTTGGACTTTGTACTAGAGCTCCACCATAACAGCAGCAAATATCTTTGGCAAACACACCTCTCTCTTTTCAGGCTTTGCTTCATATACATAATTAAAGGGATATCAAACAAATTTGTTTGTTGTTACATCTTCAAGGGAATCTTGTATAATTTTGACTTATGCAAGGGAGAAGTCACATTAGAAGAGAATCTTCAAGGGAGGGTTGGAGGGTTTGGTGAATTGAATCGAATTTCTTTTTTTCTTTTTTTGGCTAGGCAGTGGGGTTAAGTGACTTGCCCAGGGTCACACAGATAGTAAGTGTCAAGTGTCTGAGGCCAGATTTGAACTCAGGCCCTCCTGACTCCAGGGCCAATGCTCTATTCACTGCACCACCTAGCTGCCCCTCAAATTTCTTTATCTATATTAACAAACAAGCACAGCGAGGTCTTACGTTCTCTATATCTTTCAATCAAATGTGTATCTATAAAGATGCAGTTTAGGACAGACTTTCTCTCCCCTCCACCCAAGATCTGTGATTTCATTACTATAAAGAGGATTTCTTGTGTAAAAACTACCTCCATCAATCCATATCAGTCACTTGTGGATAATTTATAGTCTTAGAGAATTGTGTAGGGCATTGAAAGGACTTATCTAGGGTCACACTTCCAGTATGTACTAGAAACTAAATTTAAAACCAGGTGTTTCTGACTTCCAGGAGAGTCCTCAATCTGCTATTCTATCTTGCTTCTCATGCTGTAGAAAACCATTTGCAAAAACTTTCCAATTCCCTTTTCACACACTATCTGCATTGATTTGGCTTCCTAGTCACCAAAGGGCATAAAAAGACCAATCATGTGGACTCTTGGGCCTGGGCAGATATCCCAGGATCAAGTGAGTCACCACACCTTGCCTTGATGACCAGATGCTTTTCCATATGGAGATAAGGGGGCTGGGTGTTTCTCCTCAGAATAATACCAAAGCTAAGTGCTAATGTGTCTTTATTGAATATGCTTTCTGTGTTTTCTAAGTCAACATCCTTTTGTTAACTGTCAAACGACCTATGTGTGTCTTATTTCATTCCAACACGGAACTCAAACTATCAGGGAGGGTGCTGTCATGAATTAGGCCTGCCCAACACACTGTGCATATCCAAAGAGCTGCCAGGTGTTATGGATCCTATCATCACAACATCTCTGGCATCCATCACTTTTTTTCACTCATATGGCTACTATCCTAATACTTCTCACCTGGATTATTGTAATAAGTTCCCTAATTGGTCTTCTAAATTCCAGTCTCTCCTTTCACTAATCCATATTCCACAGAACAGTATAGGTCTGACTCTGTTGAAAAAATCTTTAGTTGCATCTAAGATAAAGTAGAAGCTCCTCAGTCCATCAGTTACAGTCCCCTACAACTTGGCCTTGACCTGCCTTTGCAGACTTATTTCATATTACTCCCCTTCATACACTTAACATTCCAGTCAAACTGTTATCAGAAGTCAGCATTCCATCTCTTACCAGGTTGTTTCCCCATGCTGCTCTCATTCTTCAGTTAAGTTCTTAGCTTCCTTCAAGACTTGTTCCAGGTGCCACCTCCTGTGGGAAGTCTTTCCTGATGCTCCCAAATTCTTAGTGCTCTTTCTTTTCTCCAATTATCTTGTATTAAGAGTTAACAGTTATCTTGTTTGTATTATTAACAATTATCTTGTATATGCAATTAGAATAATAATAATAATAATACTTTATAAGGTGGTTTACAATTTTAAGAACAATTTCACATGTCATCTCATCTGATTTTCACAATAAACCTGTGAAGTATTATTACCCTCCTTAACAGCTGACAATCAAAGAGGTTAAGAAATTTTCCCCAGGTCATAGGGCTATCTATAAAATATAATAGTTGAAATCACAAATTCAGTTCTGAATAGAACCTTTTCCACTACTGATATACAATGCCATAAGTCCATATCTGGAATTTGTGTTTAAAATGATATTCTTAGGTTTTCTTTGGCCAGACTTCAGTTAAAAGTATTTATTAAGTACTTACATATGTGTGTCAGGTATTGTGCTAAGTGCTGGGAATCTAAAGAAAGGCAAAAGGTAGCCTCTGCTCTTAAGGAGCTCACAACTTAGTGGGGGACACAACATGCAAAAAATAGGATAAATTGGAGATAATTAATAGAGAGAAGGTACTAGAACTAAGAGGGATCAGGAAAGTTTTCTTGTAGAAGACAAGGATTTTAGCTGAGATTTGAAGGAACCCAGGAAAGCCAGGATACAGAGATGAGAAGAGAGAATATTCCTAATATTAATGTAAAATTTATTTTAAAAATAACATGACATTTATATATCACTTTATGTTTACATATCATATTACATACATTATTTTATTTGATCCTCACAGCAACTCTGGGTCATTGTTCAGTCCTTTCAGTCGAGTCTGACTCTTTATGACTCCATTTGGGGTTTTCTTGGCAAAGATACCGGATTGGTTTGCCATTTCCTTCTCCAGCTCAATTTACAGATGAGGAAACTGAGGTAAATAGGGTTAAGTGACTTGGCCAGGGTCACATAGCTAGTAAGTGTCTGAGGCCCAATTAGAACTTTGGTCTTCCTAACTTCAGGCCAGGCACTCTATCCTCTGGGCCACCAAGCTGCAAAATAGATAGTCAGGTGGTTGATAGAGTCCTGGGCTCAGAATCAGGAAGACTCCTTTTCCTGAATTCAAATCTGTCCTCAGACACTTACTAGCTGTGATCTTTTTTTCTCCCTCTTTTTTTTTTTAAAGGATTATCTTAGTGTTTGGCTTAATTCTGTAAAAATAAACTTATCTGTCTTTCCTGTGTTTCTCTAGCCTTTGTCTGTATTTTCTGGTGTGGCAGTATTTCCTTCACATACTTTCTGTGTGCTAACAACTTTCAGAGACTAGAAGTCTTATGAACCCCCAAGCTGCTTTTGAAAGTTTTAGTTTTGTTAAAAGGAATGTGTCAGTTAATAAATGGGTAAATAAGAGTAGTTTTGTGTCTGTCTCCATTAATGTTAAAATAGATAGAAAATGGAAATCTTTTAATTGTTTATAGCCCACATAGGAGTGAGTGGACAGAATTGTAATTATAACTAATCTATCTGAAACGTGGTACCCCCATCATAAGATATCCTAGGTAAAGTACTTTGTAAACCTTGAAGTGATTTATAAATGTCAGCTATTGTTATTATCATGCTAAGGTTATTTTGTATTGTTTTCCACTTTTTTCCTTCTTCTGAAGGATTAACCTTGAATGTTTTCTTATCAAGTGCCTTCAGGACAAGACCTTAATTCCTTGAAGGGAATGAATGTTTTTTGAATTATCTTTGTATCATTATTGTCCAGTCTAGTGCCTTACATATAGGAGGCCTTTAATAAATGCTCATTTAACTTAATTTTATATTGCTTATAAAGAAGTTGTTTAATGCATGCTCATTGAAGGAATGAATGAAAAATTTAGTAAAGCAACAAGATTGGTTTCAGAGACCATGGAATCAGCTTGATTAACACAATAGGAAGATTCCCTAGTTAGTTGGAATTTAAGGCAAATAGATGCTGAATGAGTGGAAGCTCAGGACTTGTCAAATCATGGTAGAACGCATTGAAAAGAAATGGGAAACAAAAGAGAAACAATTGAAGTTGGGGTAGTGGTGGTGGTGGTGGTGGTGGAAGTG